GATGTTGTTTACAAATCAGGTGGCTACTCCGCCCCCTGTGCGCAGTTGYGCGTGTGTGTCTAGCTGAGTGAAGCCAACCCCTCCCAAAAAATGAACCACAGAAAAAAAAGGCAAATAGGATGAGTGGTTAGTGCTTCGTTTGTGYGCRTTTGTGCACTTGAAAGTGTTGTTTGTGCTGCTATGGTTTTTATATATTAAAGATTATTTGTAAGGGTCATTCAGGGGTCACCATCCCACCCGGTAGCTCCAAAATGAACCAAAAATGAACCAAAMTAGTCAAATTTTATAGTGCTTTGTTTGAGCAGGTTTGTGCCATTGAAACGGCTGTTTGTGCTGCTATAGTTTATGAGATATTACACATTATAATTTTGGTTGATCACATGACTTGGCCCGTTGTCACAGACGTAAACAATTCAGAACTGAAACTGGCCTTGGAAAAATCTGAATACCCTTGATGTTTTGTTGCACAACCACTGGAGACAATCACTACAACAAAGTCTTGTCTGCAATTGTCTCTGAGATTTAAGCACCTGTCCACAAGTATTTTGTTTCGCTCCTCATAACTAAACTGTCTCAGGTTTGACGAGTGACTTCTCCAGACTGCAATCTTTTTTTTTTTTTTGACTAACCCATGACCTGCAACTGTGACTGAGTTTCCTATCGGGGCAACACATTTTGTTCCATAACACTGTGATAGTATTAAAATTTCATTGTACCTGGCAGTTATAGACACCCAGTGCCAGATGCAGTMAACCAGCTCCAGAGCCTCCTCCATTTGTTCTTTTCTTTGCATGTATCATTTCTACGTCTGTGTTCATGAAACTGGCGACTTTTTAAWAAAAGTTCAATTTTTGTCTTATTTATCCAAAAGACATTCTCTCTGATGCTTTGTGKGTTGTCAGTGTGTTTGTTTGTTTTTTATGATTTGCTCCCTTCAGTGGGGTCATCTTAATTTGACTTCTTTGGCTCAAACGGTGGCAGATGGTATGATCTGACATTGCTATACCTTAAAATTCACCTTTAATCACTTTGACTTTTGTTATGGACTGGTTTACATAACCCTACCGGCCCTACCTAGCCAGACAGATGACTGTAAGCCAGAAGAGGAAGCCACACAGGACAAACTTCAATCCTGCCCCTCCATGCAATGCAATGCAACATTTGTTTTTTTTTTAACTTTGATGTACTTATATGCATTTTAAAAATGTGTCTAGTTTCAATTGGTTACTTGAGATTTTAAAAGGTGTTTCAATGTGATTGACATTATGACAGCTTAATAGTGAGTTATGGGTGTGTCTAGGCAAGACGTTGGTATCGGTACAATCCCACATACTAGGACAGAATGTGTTTTCAAAACTACAACAGGACAACGCCCCAGAAAACTGAGTTTTCAACAAAAGAAATTATTGGAATCACTGTGTCCATGTGTATTTATGTCAATGACACAAATCTTAATTTATTTTAACAAATCTAGCTATTTTTGTTTTATAGCTTCAAAGCATCCCTTGTACAACCCCTGGAAAAAAGTGTGGAATCAACAGTCTTGGATGAGCACTCATTCAGACATTTCATTCTGTAAAACAAACTCAGATCAAAAACATGAWACAATAATAAGGTCATTCCAAAGTGCAACTTGTTGGCTTTCTGAAACACTCAAAGAAACGAAGAGAAAACATTGTGAAAATCAGTGAATGTTACTTTTATTGACCAAGCACAAGGGAAAAGTATATGGAATCACTCAATTCTGAGGAAAAAGGTATGGAATCACTCCAATTGGAGGTAGAAAATAAGGACACACC